CGTAGTCATTTTCCGCTTTGACTTCAAAATTCAACGGCCCAGATCACTCCGATTTGCCGCCAAATATATGAGAGTGGGTCCCACATCAACTGTCGTTTGGCTCGCTACTTGCGCTTTTGTTCTTTTTTTCCAGACCTTTCGCTTTAACGCCGTTTGTTTCCGTCGTTTTCTAAAACACAGGAACAAAGCTTCTCAAAATCGGGCAGCGACTTTTCCATTCAATGCATGTAACACAAAGCAATTCAAAATATCATAATATATCTTTTGAATTTAATTTAAATAATTGAATAAACATTGGGTAAAAGTCAATTCAAACCAACACATTAAACAATCAAATCAAATTAGAATCAATTGTACGATATTTATTTAAATAATTTTCTTATATAAAACATAATTAGAATCAATTTTATTGCGCTTTATTTAGATTCTTATTTTAAAAACTAATTTCATATCAATTATTATGAGAGACGTTGAATAAAACTATTTGGTAATTGGAAGTTGTAGATTTTATTTTTATAAGTATATTCGATAAAAATAACTAGAAATATTTAAAATTGCATAAGAATACTTATATAAAACACATCATTGTCTATTGATTTTAAAAAACAATAATTAAGTCAATTTAAAATTATAAAAAAGTTTTTTTGTTAAGTGACGATTAACGTAGTTTTTAAATTTGAAGTTTTTGTTTTAGTTAAAAATTAGAAGTTCATACACTCGAATAAAGTTTTTTCTTAAAAACTAAAAGCTTTCAAATCCGAGTGACAAATACACCCTTAAAATTGAAATTATGTGATTTTAAGTATATTAATATATACATTTCAAATAACAAACTCAAGTTTATTAATTGACGAATACACGTTAGTTTGAATTTTGATTACATTACTTATACTATTTATGTAAAAACTAGGTTACAACCCGTGGAAACCACGGATAAAAATGAAAAAAAATTTGTTAATTAAAAATGGTAATAAAAAATAAAAGATTTATAAAATTTTAATAAATTAATAAGATATAAGTTTTGTTTAGACTTTTATATATATTTGAATACCTCATATACGTTATGTATGTATGAGTAGACATTTAATATATAGAATAAATATAAATTTGAATAGAGTAAAAAAAAGACAAGAAATCATGCAGATGACATTGATATACAAAAAATTAATTTTTTTTAAACAAACAAACTATAGCAAAAACTTCAAAAGAAACGGTAATTTTGAGTATAACAGATATTAGGTTTGACACTAAAAGGAAAAAAATTATAGATACCTCTATAATAATCGACTCAGAGAATCTAATCCTTTTATTCACTACAGCATTAACATACCCTGTATATAATATAGAACACAAAAACATTCAAAGGGATAACATGTGATAATATCATAACCTATCACCAAGATTCTTGTAAAGTGTCTTGGTGAGCTATTCAAGGTAGGTGGAACCTTCAAAGGTTTGTTTGAGAATCATCCTCTTACTCTAAATGCGAACAACTTGAGGCTATCTCAAAAATATGTATATTAAATTGCTTCAGCCTTTCCACGAACAAAGGGTTCGCTGTCTTCTCTTCTCTCTTCGATAAAAGAATATTGTTATTAGAATTTTTTTTTTTATCATGGATAGCTACTGGTTATTGAATAATAACGTAATTACAATTAATTATCCATAATAGCAACACATTTGTTCTCTTTAATTGAAATAGAAATATGATTACTCAAATTCGTAGCAAATGTTTAGTAAGTTGCTAATATGGATAAAAATGAAATTAGTTTTGCCATTATTATCAATAAAAATGCAAGTCTTACTCTTACCATTGTGGTAAAAATTATAAGTGATTTGTTAGGGAATTTTATAGTAGTAGATATTGAGGGGTTTAATCTAGTCCAACACCAAATGAGATGTAAAACCATAAATTTTCGCGAATTAAAAAGCCTGACTTGGAAATTTCTGCGATTTAAGAAAAATACTTACCGTCATCAAGGTTGTTGTCACCTCTGTTTGTAACTTATAAAAAAATATTGAATTTTAGCCTTTTGACTCGGCATCTCGGAGGACATCATGATCAAAAAAATTTGAAACTTCAAAAACTGTGTTGTCCTACCTGCAACATATTCTCATAAAATAAATAAACTTTTATTATGTAACTGCAACCCCATTGGATGGACATGGCTATTTGTCTTGCAATGAATACAAAAAAGTTCAAGAACTGCATAAAGCTCCCATGAAAGTCCAGTTGTAACAATCATGGGAAAAACATAATTAAAGTCATCCATCTTGAAATTCATCATTCCATTCTCCAAATCAAATTACATAAGAAGTTCAAACAATTTAGTACAATAGTTCTAAGTATAGTACAAACCTCTTTTCTATATATATAATATATATATATATATATATATATATATATATATATATATATTCCTTATTATCTAATAGAATATATGCAAATAGAAGAAGAATAAAAACATGGTATGTAAACAAACACCATAGAAATCAAGTGACTTCCATAAACGAGATACAGATAGCACACCTCTCTCAAGCATTATATCAAACACTTGGAGTGCTTGATCAACATATTCTCTAAATGAGAACGTTCATCAAGACATTGTAAATCAATACAGGAAGTGAAATCCCAACATCATTAAACATGTTGTAAATCAACACATGGAGTGAAATCCCAGCATCATTAACCCTAAGAAAGTAATCATATGATCACAAGTATCTATTTTGTGCAAACACCACACGAAGTAGTTTGGAACAGGCTCTTCTAATGGAAAATGACTCCGACTCAATAAGCTTCTGGAAATTGACGTTTTCCTGTTTGAGTTTCCCTAATTTGTAATAACAGATTGTAACAATTGAGCATTAGGCTTAATCCCTCGTCTTAGTATCCTAATAATATACAAATACCCGGGTTTCACCAGTATTCACAAGTTTAAAAATGAGAGAAGAATAAGTGGAGAATTCATGTTCCTGACCTTGGAACACACCAAAATTAATGATGGAAATCTGGATTAAACATCATCCTGATTTCACTGATCTCAAATGGACCTTCTCATGTCGGTACTTATTCTCATCAGAGAGTCATGTTATCATATTTTATCTACTATTAAGTATATCAATTCTTATAGACATTTTATCAAACACCTAGGGTGCAGTATCAAAAACTCATAAACAACTTAATTCAGAGCATATCAATTCTTAAAACAAAACGACCAAAAAAATAAAATGCAACAACACACTCACCACTTGTAGACATCTTGGTTTAGCAACTTCCAAATGTACCGGAAAAACCTCCAAGTCGATGCACAGTGAAAAAAGAGAAGAACTTATTTTGGTTAAAACCAACGCTCAAGAATCGAATAGTATAAACAGAGAGATTAACAATCTCGATGATTTTGGAATTGATTTAGTGAGATTACCTTCACAATTTATATGGATCCATTGCTAATCAACTGACAAATCTCGAAAATTAAGGAGAATATTTCTTGCATATTAAGCTTACTAAAATCATTGAATATCTCTTCAAAATGATATCTCGGTTGATTCTGATAATCAATATTCAAATTTGAAAGTGAAAAACTGACGTAGATTTCCTAATCATAGAAGGGTATAATGGGAAACTCACTTACCGAAAGTGAACAACTTACAGAATGCAAGGGCAAATCCGGTAATTCACTTTCATAAAATGAGCAGGAAAAATCGATTGGGGGACGCTAATAGACTGTCACGTGGCAAAAATCTACTTATTTATTAGGATAGGGGATGATATCAATAACGAAAGTGTTTATTTATACTTTAACAAAAAGTTATTTTTTTCACATCCTCTTGGCAAACTTATGAAACAAATAATTACAATAAATAATAATATAAATTCACATTAAATACTTATAAAAAAAAACTAATATTTTTCACTAAATTTGCATCATAATTGACTGTCATTATCATTTTCATTTCAAAATATTTTCTTAATTTAGATATCTACTGTACAAATTTGTCTAAGATCGTCGTTGGCGTATTACTTTAAGGCGTCAATCATGATAAAATAATATAATTTGAAAACTTGAAATCATGTTGAAAGTTGTATTATAATATTATACAAAAACAAATATAATTTATTATAAACATTGTTGCCACCTATATTTGTATTTTTTTTACTCCATACACATGCAAATCTGAATTAATGTTCCCTCTTGTTCTTGGTGGGGCCCATTATCTTCCATGTGTTAATCATTATCCATTATATCCGATTAAAACAACAAAAATTCTAGACACAACTTCAAAAATGGTCCTTATAGTTTTCGAAAATCTGAAGTTTAGTCCTTAATTTACAAAAACCTCACGTATCGTCCCTGTGGTTTCAAAACTTATAATATATAGTCTTTTTCGCTAACTCCGTTAGCTTTTGGCCGTTAAGTAAAGGACATTTCTGTCTTTTCACTACCACAAGGACCATTTATGAAGTTTTGCTTTATTTTAAAAAAGAAAAAAGAAAAAAAATAATTATTTAATATTAAAGGTCTCACTCTCACTCTCTCTCTCTCTCTCTCTCTCTCCCAAAAACCCAAACCACCGCCTCTGTCAAACGGTATAAATGAACGCCATCGTATCCAAATTTCAGTCAATAATCGATATCTTTCTCTCTCTAACTTTCGATGGATCATTCATACAGCACACCAACAAACGAGCTCAAGGCGGAATCCGACGAACTACACTCAACAAATACATCAAAACCGTCGATGCTGATTATTCTCGCCGGAAAATGCCATCGGCAGCTGAACTTGAAGAATTCTTCGCTAAAGCAGAAGAAAAACCTCTATAAACGTTTTAAATACGCCCGACCAAGAGTTCGTGGGGGATGTAAGATTTCTTTTTCTTTTTTGCTCTGAATGGACAGAGTTTGAGGAAGGAAGAAGGAACAGTTGGTAAAATAGTGATTTGGGGTGTACTTCAACCTTCCCCCCACTACATCTCGTTTCTTTCTGCCCGGAACAAATTCTTCATGAAGGAGAGGTTCCTCTATGATCCATGGAAGTCCAAGGCAGAGCATAGGTACGAGATTGAATAAAACCCAGGAGCCGATTAACTTCCGGGTTGGTTTCCAAATACGCCCGACCAAGAAATCGGAAGGCTGCTTGTTCACCGGCGTCGTTGAAAAAAGCTTTACCCTTTTGTGCTAACTCTGCTTCAAGCTCATCGAAGAGTTTACTATATGTCGCTTCAAATTCCGACATAACTCTGCTTCGGGAATATTTGAGCATGAAAAATATCAAATTTTTTAACAGAGCATGCTTGGGCTCCGTTGGGTCAAGATACGAGAGGACACGGTGGCCGCCAGTGAGTTAATGGGTTTGTCTTGGGTACATGGTTGTGGAGAGAAGGGAAAGCTAAAAATAACGGAATCGGGTTTTCCTTTCGAATCAGAGTGAATGGAGAAGAAGGGTGTTCATATGATCTGGAAGTATATATGTGTTCATCATATCTGGATTGGGGAAGAAGAACAATTTGCTGGGGGTTTGACTTAGAGAGAGAGAGAGAGAGAGTGTGTGTGGGACCTTTAATATTAAATAATTTTTTTAAATAAGACAAAACTTCATAAATGGTCTCTGTGGTAGTGAAAAGACAGAAATGCATTTTACTTAACGGCCAAAAGCTAACGGAGTTAGCAAAAAGGACCATATGTTAAAAGTTTTAAAACCACAGGGACGATCCGTGAGGTTTTTGTAAATTAATGACTAAACTTCAGATTTTCGGAAACCACAGAGATCATTTTTGAAGTTTTGTCAAAATTCTATATAAAGGTTTGGTTAAAATTCATCTACAACAAAATATTCCTTTTTAATCCTCCTTAATAAATGAAGGTTTTTTTGCCACATGTCAATCTCTCATGAGTTTTGACACTTGTCATTTTGTGGTATTTTTTAAATAAATATTATCCACTTGTCAATTTTTGGTTTGTTTCAATTTTTAAAATTAAAGTCATATACTTATATATGTAAAGTATTAAGTATCATATATATGATATTAAATTGCAATAAATATGTTTCTTCATTTTTTATTTTAAAATTATACATTAAAAAATATTTTCTGTTTATACTTTAATGTTTAATCTTTTTTTTTAAATCAACGTCGTGTAATACGCGAGTCTCACACCTAGTTCAATACTAAATTGTAAATATATACGTCGATAATATACGCTTTATTGTTTCTTAAGTTTAACAGTTTAGTAACTCGTTATTATTAAACAACAAACTGTTAAAAACAATTATATACTAAGAATTATTATAGATTTTAAAACAATAAGTCTTCTTAAATTAACATCTTTTATCTCTAACATATTTGAACCTTCAACCATTGGTTGAATGATATATTTCTTTTAACTTCTCTAGGGTTAGGCTAAAAGTCATTTTTGATTTTGAATAATAAATACTTATGTTTACTATAAATATTCATTAAAAACTATTAAATATATAGTTAAAAAATATATAGTTAATTGAAATCTTTGTCGTACCTTAAATATCAGCTACATTCCTTATTGTTTTGTTGCTAGTTGCTACCCTACACCACCTTGTAGCTAAAATACCACACACGATAATGTTGCAATTGAAACTTTTTGGACAAACTATATATATTTTAATTTTTTTATTTAGAGGCTTTTTAGGTTATTCTTATATACTTTTTAATTAGTAGTTTTATAGCTATCACCGTTGATGCTCCATATATATTTTTTATGTATTGATTTCTATGCCAACTAAATATTTTTCGAAATTCATTTGTTGTTTGAAAAGAAGCCTTCATAAATTACAATTGTATATACAAAAGGTCGAACATAACGCACCATTTTGATATTATCTTTTAAGTTCAAAGCTTTTTATGCTACTAAAAAGACACAACATCATGCCATTTTTGAAAAAGCATAATGAGTGAACCACGACATTACACCATTTCTAACGTTTTATATTTTGGGAAAAAATTGCAAAAAGTTGGTAACTCATATTTTGAAGACAAAATTGCAAAAATGGTCATTGTGGTATGTAAATTTTTGGGTTTTTAATCCAAACCACGACTTTTTTGGATTGGTGGTCCTTTTGAGCTAGTTTCATTGCGTTTTTGGTCCCTCTAAATAGTGAAATGACTGTAATACCCTTAGGTTATTTATTTTTCATTTATTTTTCATTTCTTTCATTTTTTTAAAAATCTAAATACTTATTTATTTATTTAACTAATTAAAAAAATAAAAGTCTCTCTCTCTCTCTCTCTCTCTCTCTCTCTCTCTCCGGGTCGTATACCCATTTCTTTCTTTCGTTCCCGATTTCAACGAACAAGAAGGGGCTGCTACCTTCGGCAATCTGGAGATAGCCACCGCACCACCTGCTAGCCTCCATTCTACCACCAAACTCCACCGTGAACCGCTACATCTCCGCCCACCATAGAACCATTCCAGCCTCACCCCATCTCTTTTTATTTTCTGTTGATCTGAGCAACCCCAAACAAACCCCAATCCTTGCTCCTTTTTTCCTCTTCGATCACCGTTGTATTGGGAAGACGGAAGCAACGAAGCTGCTGTGCTACCACTACTCGCCGCCGTTGCTGTGGTGGGCAGTCCCCACCACCACCTGTCACCGCCCACATATCCAGATGCAGGTATCCGGTGGGACGACTTTAAACCCAAAAGAAACTTGATTTGGGTTAATTTTTGGATGAAATCAGAAGAAGATGATGGAATTAGAACTTCATATTTGCTCTGTTCTCTGCCACCAAGGATGAAGATTTTCTCCATCGATCTACTTCATTGATTATCATTGGCTCATATAATCGGGTTTCAAGGATTTACTGTCATGAGAAACATACGATCTTGAACAGACTTACAAATGGCAGCAAGGCGATGGTGGCAGACTGCAGTGGTGGTGGGATGTAATGGCGGTCGACGGTAGCTCCGACTGCTTCGTTTTCTTGCTGCTCCGATGAGTTCGACGAGGGGTTGATTGGAGGACAAGGAGGGTGTTGACTCCTTTTGGAGAGAGAGAGAGAGAGAGAGAGAGAGAGAGAGAGAGAGAGATGTGGGCCCTAAATTAGATCATTATTTTATTTTTCATTTAAATTAAATAGAAAAAGCATAAAAAAATATATCAGAAGGGCATAATAGTCTTTTCAGTTTACTGGGGGACCAAAAACGCAAAGAAACTAGCTCAAAAGGACCACCAATCCAAAAAAGCCGTGGTTTGGACTAAAATCCCAAAAGTTTGCATACCACAGGGACTATTTTTGCAATTTTGTCTATTTTGAAAATATGACATTAGCTTTACGCATCAATACTTTTTCTAAAACAATAATCTTTTCAGTATTTCAGTCTAAAAGCAAAATCCATGTCATATAACCATACAAGATAAATAATGATATTCACAATATATTAGTTTTCTCTACAATTTAAATAAAAAAAACATTTAGGTTAAGCGTATTCAACATATAGCATTTTAAAGCTTTTAACTTATGATTTTTTTATCTAATTTTATATTTTTAAAAACTAACAGAATATTTCTATATAAACAAAAAATATGAAAAATCTTTGAAATAATAATATAATAAATAAAATGTAAATAAGAAGATATTGTAAAATAGAAAAATAAAAACATTAACTTCTATACACCAAAACACTAGTGCCTAAACATGATTCTCTCAGTACATGTTCACCTTTCTTTCTACTTTTACTGCTACATGACCCATCGATTACATCAGTTCATAGTCTGTGAGTACTCGGAAAGAGTTCCCCCCTTCTTCTTCTTCCTCCTCATTACTCAAAGATTACTCCATAGAATCCCCAATATATCCATTGATTTCATCTCTGATGCTCCAGGATCTCCAAATGCTTTACAACTTCCTCAATCTTTAGCTAATACATGTTATTTGCTCCAAATTCATCAACTATAGATCTTTGGAGTCATTCAACAATGGATTATTCACTTCAGAAACATACCCAAATGCTCAAGTTCATCCCACTGTTTCTTTTCCTTTTGCAATTGCAAACACTCTGTTCTGCATATCCGACGCCATTAAACTGCACAGAGACATCGCGGTTATGCACTTCCTTCTTAGCTTTCTCTCCGTCCCCGAATCAAACCCTAGACGTGATTATGAGCATGTTTGACGTCTTCCCTCACGACGTTACAGTTGAAGGTAACGGCCGTAACTATGTTTTTGTTCGGAAGAACTGTTCATGTGCTAATTCGCCAGTTCATAGCTACTTGACGAATACTACCTACACGGTGAGGGAAACCGGCGGATCTGTTCATGATATCGTGATTGACGCGTATGGAGGATTAGCGTATCTCTCGAATTTCTCCCGGCCGGCGCGTACAGGCGCGGTGGTTTCGTTGCAGCTGTTTTGCGGATGTTCCAGTGGACTATGGAATTACTTGATGAGTTATGTGATGAAGGAAGGAGATAGCATTGAATTGTTAGCGAGCAGATTTGGTGTTAGTATGGATAGCATCGAATCCATTAACGGAATCGATAATCCCGATAACATCACCATTGGTGCACTTTATTACATACCATTGAATTCAGGTTGGTTTACTATTTCCACCATATTAATTGCGTTTGCAGGAATAAAACCATTGATGCATGTTTGATTTGATTTTATAGTTCCTGGAGATCCATATCCTGTAGAAACTACCTCTCCCCCTTCTCCTTCTCCATCACCTTCTCTTTCTGGCAGTGTTACAGGTAAAAAAACGTTCAGAGTAATCAACTAATAACAAACAGACTGATGGACTAATACTGTAGCTTTTATGCAGTTGAGCGAACAGATCATAAGAGCGATGTAAAACATTGGTGGATCATAGGCAGTTTGGGTGTTGCTTTGGCTCTAATCGTAGCAACTGTTCTTTTTGTTTGTTTGAGATCATCAATTTGCAATCATTTAAACGATCCTGAAGATGAAAGGGTATCACATAAGTTCCACATATTACGAAGATCAAGCATCTGGTGTGGATCAGGGAGACTCTGCTGCAAATCCGATGACTGGAGACAACAAACCATCGACGCATCAAGCGATCGCCATACCAACATTCCAAAAGGTTCCCACTCATTACAATCCACCTTTTGTTCACATAAAGTTTCTTGAATTCTTGATAACTTATGTGATTCGGTGTTCTTGTTTTGTAATTGCAGTAATTGGGACAGATGTGTTTGATGTAGAGAAGCCTATTGTGTTCATATATGAAGAAATCTTATCATGTACAGATGGTTTCTCTGAGTCAAACCTTGTAGGCCATGGAACCTATGGATCTGTGTACTATGGTTTACTTCGTGAACAGGAAGTTGCTGTGAAAAAGATGACTGCAACAAAAACTAAAGAGTTCATAGCAGAAATGAAAGTTTTGTGCAAAGTTCATCATACAAATTTGGTAAAACATTTTATCTTTTCCTTCTTTATTTCATCATAAAATGTCAAAACCATTATCTAACACTATTGAGTGTGTGTGGTTTTGTTGTTGTCAAGGTAGAACTTATTGGTTATGCAGCTAGTGATGATGAACTCTTCCTCGTTTATGAATATGCTCAAAAGGGTTCACTTGGAAGTCACTTGCATGATCCTCAAAACAAGGGTAATTTCGTAAATACTAAATTACTAATATTCTAAAAAAACTATCTCATGAAATTATTTAATATAAACAAATGTAGGTCATCCAGCATTATCTTGGATTATGAGAGTTCAAATTGCACTTGACACTGCAAGAGGGTTGGAATACATACATGAACACACTAAGCCTCATTATGTTCATAGAGACATTAAAACAAGCAATATTTTACTCGATTCTGCCTTCAAAGCCAAGGTATTTTTTTTTATTTTATAATGAGAATAATTTTTTTTATATTATTTAGTAGATTAAAAGAAGTTTGGTTTGAATAGATTTCGGATTTTGGGTTGGCAAAACTTGTTGGAATAACTAATGATGGAGAGGCTTCTGCTACAAGAGTGGTTGGAACTTTTGGTTATTTAGCTCCAGAGTAAGATGCTGTTTCCTTTTTAATTTTTAATTTTATTTAATTTTTTTGTTGTGATTGTTTACGATTCTCAAAAATAAACAATCAAGTATTATTCAGTGTTACTTCTTGACAGATAGAAGGGTAAAATGGTCATTTAGTCAAAAAAAACAAACAATCTTTGTTTATAGACAATTACTCCAAACATACATCATTTATTACTTCTAGACAGACAAAAGGGTAAAATGGTCATTTTCCACATTGTTCATTTTAGTCAAAAGAAATAAGAAAAGAAACAATCTTTGCTTATATAAACACTTACTCCAAAAATACATCATTTATTACTTCTATACAGATAGAAGGGTAAAATGGTCATTTTCCACATTTTTCATTTAGTCAAAGAAAGAAGAAGAAAAGAAACAATCTTTGTTTTATAAACACTTACTCCAAACATACATCATTTATTACTTCTAGACAAACAGAAGGGCAAAATGGTCATTTTCCACACTGTTCTTTTAGTCAAAAAAAAAAAAACAATGTTTGTTTATAAAGACTTACTCGAAAACATACATCATACGATGAATGACAGATACTTGAGGGATGGAAGGGCTACAACAAAGAGTGATGTATACGCATTTGGTGTTGTTCTTTTTGAACTAATATCAGGAAAAGAAGCCATTACACGAACCGAAGCTGTTACAAAAAATTCAGAGAGACGTTCATTAGCATCCATTGTAAGCCTTATTTTTTTTTTTAAAAAAAAATGAAATTATTTCCATATTTTATGTTCTAAATCATTTTCCAAATATTACAGATGTTAGGAGCTCTTAAGAACTCTCCGGATTCCATGCGTATGTCAGGGTTAAAAGATCACATAGATCCTAATCTCTTGGATTTATTTCCTCATGATTGTGTTTTCAAGGTACCACCTTATAACAAAAAAAAAAAAGGATTAAAAGTTTGAAACTGATCTGTTTATATATAATTATAATAATATATGGTTTGATGTAGATGGCAATGGTGGCAAAACAATGTGTGGAGGAGGATCCAATATTGAGACCAGATATTAAGCAAGTTGTTATATCACTTTCACAAATACTTTTATCATCAGTTGAGTGGGAGGCTACACTCGCCGGAAACAGCCAGGTCTTTAGCGGCCTTGTTCAAGGTCGCTAATATCACCGACCATCTTTCACTTCAATTGGTGGTTGTTACTTGGTAAATAGTTGAATTTGCATAGATGGTTTGGTGTAGTAGTAGTTGTAGTAATGAGGGTGAGTGTTTATACGTACACATTTATATTTATATTTATTTATTTATTTGTCCATTATGTTTGCTTTTGTTGTGAAAATTTCTTGTAATGTAAAGATGAAAAGAAGATGAATTGTCATGTATCACAAAAGATCGTTGTTGGATCGGATTATGTAAAAGCAGATTGAAGAACATGATAGTTTGGTCAAATCGTGCACATATTATGGGAACCAAACAACTTCTATTTGATGATGACAAAACAGATATGAAATAAATAACAAAAATAATTCATGTCCGATTGGGGATCTTTTTGTCCTTTTTTTATTTTTCCATGTTTGGTAAGTGATTCATATCTCATAAAAAGGGAAAAGAAAATACATATTACAACATTTATTGATTTGGAATACAATATCATATAAATTTTTTGTTTTACCATAAGTAATATACAGATCATTTATTGGTTTGGGATACAATGTCAAGATATGTGTTAGTATTTTGAGCATAACCTTTTTTTTATAACTGCCCTATTCATAAAATCATTCAACTACTTCAAGACATAATGCTCCACTTAATTAAAAGCCAACATATATCTCATGTCTAAGGATATATGGGTACAATCATTTTCAATATTAACCTAATTATGTCGACCCATTAAGTGATATCTTGAGGTTGAGTCAGTCTAATATCTATAATCAGTTAATACACATGAATTTGACTCTCAGAACGACACATTTTAATGACATGCAACTTCTTCTCGTGATTGCAAAGACAATCCTGAACTTATGATACCAGTATGTGAAGTTTGAGTTATTCAACTTGTGTTCTCCAATAGAGAATGAAGCAAAAGACTGTTTACGAATGTTATAACCATCTACAAAGTTCAATGTTAATTTTAGTATTTTCAATATTTATCTTTTATAAATAAATTAACCTTACATTTATGAAGTAGTTAATTTAATAAAAAGCTAAGATCTATATTAGGGTTTATTGTCATGTTATGTTGATCATACACAAAACAATAAGTTTAATCGATAGATTACAAGTTGTATTAACAGTGTAACTCTTAGATGTTTACGAGATTCTAGATGAAAACACATATGTTTATCTTGTACATTTAGTCTCATTCTTTCCACAAACTTAGGTCTTACTAAGCGGTTGGTTAAATCTTCCAACTTGGAACTGTTAATTTTGACATACGTCTTACCAAAGCACAAAAATCATCTTAGGATTTGTAATATGCTTGAGTCTTAGTGTTGGGAATATTGTGATTCAAAAATAGTTTAAGAATCAAGAACATCGTAAATTAACATATTAAAACTTTTACTTATTCCCAAAAGCCACATCCAATTTGACTAATAATGAACAACCAAAAGCATTAAACCATAAAATGTTTAGAATATATACCTTGATTTGTAGGGTTCCTTTTGATGTACTAGATGTGATAAGAACAAATCATTGTTATCGACATCCACATGAACGATATACTACTCCTAGACACCAGCGATGAAAACAATGTTTCTTGTGTTATTCCTTGTTCTTGTTCTTCAACTGGGAAGGGGAACGTAAGGCACCACAAATTAGGAAGAGAGGAAAGATTAGCTAGATTTTTCTGTATGACAATGTTCCTTGTGTTATTCCTTATTCTTGTTCTTCAATTAGAGCTCCTCCAACCACATAACATAAAAACAATGATTGTTTAACATCAAAATGGTGATTCAAATCCAACCAACCTCCGAAATGATGGTTTTTAGAGGCCTCTATATTTGACCTTCATATTTTGTATTAAAAGGAAGCCAATACAAAAATGGTTTTAAATTTAAAGGTTGGTCGGAGGATTTTTGGCCTCCAAAACACAAAAATAATGATAAATAGAAGATGGTGGGAGTTTCTCTAACATGCTTTTCTTGTAAACCTGAACTTTTGGATGGATTTTAAGAAATTCATTCAAACTCATCAATTTTAAGTAATCCAAATACATGTAATCAATTGTTGTTAATTAATTAAATGGCTATTAAATAAATATTTTATTTAATTAATAAATAAACTATTATGTTTATTGTTTAGTTTTGTTTTTACTTTTATGTATGCTTATTATTTAGACGACATGACATATATGAGAAAGATCTTTCATTTTTTGAGTATTACGTCAGTTTTTCCTCATCAAAAGCCAGGAAATGGTCACATTTCATTATCTTTTATTTTTTATTTTAAAAATATATATATATATTTTATAGAAATTTTATACTCATTTTGTAGAGAATTAAAAACCATGAGTTTTGATATATATTTTTATATTTTTTATTAGGCATATAATTTAACAAATATTAAAAAAAACTAAAAAAAAAAGACTGATCAATCACACGAGGAGAGAAAGTGAGGGATAGGCTCCCCTGACTCTTTTCCCATAGCTCCGGTATGGTGTTCCGGTGTACGAAAACCTTTCCATCACTCTTTTCCTGCTTCATACCCACTGACCTTATATTCCACCCACCATGTTCCTTATCAAACCAACCTCACCAAAGAGAGGTTATGGTTGTCAAATTTGTTAAATTTATCAAATTTGAGTCAGAATCGTCCCTACATTCAATAGTCAAACCAACACGATCGACATCATCAGATTTTGCCAGAAGGAAGCTAAACACATTCATCGACCAAGAAACATGGGGTTTTGATTTTGTATGGAAAGAAAAGCGTTAACGAAAAATCTTAACCCTCAAACCCTTTTTTCTAAAAGCATAACATAAACAAAAGAATAATAATCTCTTTAGAAAAGTAGACATGTGTATGGAATGGTTATTTTTTATCTCTCTCTCCACATCAACACCACCTCAATTTTTAATTATCTTTCCAATCCACTTCATCTCACGATCGTGTGATGATCAAGACAGAACAAGACATGACAACCACCCCGCAACAATGTCTTTTTCCCCGGTACCAAAGCACCAGGGAGGGATGGAGGGTAGGTGGTGTTTCTGCTAGTGCCACTCCATCCTGGGCCACCCCCGCTCTTTGTGTGACCATTACCCTATAAACACTAATCCGCCTATAGACTTTCATATTTATATTTTTTAAACAAAAATAATGACTTTGAAGGATCCAATAAAACCATTGGTGACTATGGGGCTAATAAGATAGTTATTCCCCATTCATATTAACTAACCTTACTTTACTATCATTTATAACACTCAAACTAAAAGTCTGAAACCATGATTGGACTTGCAAAAAGTGAAATATAATATACCCAAAGAAATTACAAATCAAACTCAACATACTTCATATAAGATTAAAACAAGGATGCAAAATTGCAAATGCAGCTCCTTTATCATACGGAAACAAACCAGTATTCTATTCTCCCTTCACGTACAAAGAGAAGCCAACACCCTTCGTGGTGGCTCAAATGGCCGCCGGGCATGAAGCACCGCCAAATTGTCCAGCAGCAAAACGTCACCTTTCTGCCATGGAACAGCAACGCTTTCCTCCTCCAGGATTTTCAGGCAGTCGTGTATGACATTTGCCGGCAACGGTGTTCCATCGCCAAAAGTCACGGCTTTCACCGGATCATTTCTTGCATCTTCCCAACCAGTATACGCCGCCACCATGCTATTGAACCAGATCTTGCGTTTTCTTGTTTCGTCAAATTTGATTGCTGGAATTGGACCCATCACTGTTTTCAATCCATCGTTTGTCCATTCGAGCTTCATTCCGAGCTTCGCAGCCCTGTAATTGATAACGAAAATTCAGCAAAAAATTTGGGGGAGAATAAGAATTCATGGTTAATCCGGATTTGCAAACCTTTCTGCAGCGATGACTTTGTCTTTGGTTAAGAATGTGGAGACCCATCCTCGACCGATTGGGGAAGAAGGATCATCATCTTCCCCTAGCACTCTTGTGTAGAGCAATCCGTGTTCTTCCAATCGATCAACAAAATCAGGGTATTTCTGTTTCATCTTATCGTAGATCACGTGGCTGAGTACTATAGGTGTTTCTCCCCCGATTTTTGGTTCCACTTCGCAAAAGAAGAACACCTTCAATGGAAACTTAGGAACCTGTTGCGGTTGAATTCATGTTTACATTGATTTTTAGGGCAGAGAATTCAATCGAGCAAAAACAATCTATAAAACCTCGGAATTCCATCATCTAATGGCAATTCAATTTGATTATTCATCTAAAAAAACAAACCTGGGCCATTTCGTGATGGAAGGGGATCTTCTGATCAGGAGGAGACTCGTTAGAAGTGAAAACACGGCCGACGACGTTGGTGCGAGGGGCGGCGCCACCAACATATGGAAGTTCGTCGTAACCGAAAGCTTCAACGACGTCGTTGAAGTCTGAAGCAGATGAAACGGAAGAGAAACCTCGGAACAGAATCGCACCGGTCTTGTGGAGCACAGATTCCATCCATGGCTTCTGATCGCGGATGGCTTCCTTCAGATTACGATCACCAAACTTTGGACTAGGGATTAAAACAGTTGGGAAGACAATTCCGGCTCCATTTCCGGCGTTATATTTCTTCTGTTGAAGTAACTCCGATTCTACGAAGAGATTTTCCGGCATGGTTAGTTCCAGTAATCCCATTAAACTTTCAAGCTGATCCTTTAAAAGCACAGTCATACACACGTGTATATATATACAAATACAGAGGGAGATTCCACTTTGACCATTTTTTCGTCCAGGTTCAAGCAAGGGTATTTAAAATTGTTACAACTCAATAACATCAAAAAAAAATCAATCTAAATCGACTATATTTGGTTAGGTTGTAGATTTTAGATTCAAGTGTTCAAGCAAAAGTATTTAATTTTCTTTATTGTAAGTTTATAATTGAATAAGGAAATTGATTATTGTAAATAATATTTACTTTAATAATTAGATTCCTTATTTAATTATAAACATATATACATTGTACATTGATTATGAAAACAATGTTTTTTCTTTCGTTTTGTTGCTCGACTTACTTTTTAGGTAAGATACAATATTTTTACGATTGAAAACTGTCGGTGCGTAAAAATGAATTAAGGTTCCGTTTGATACGTATCTTTCCAGGTCCAAACAGATCTTTCTGGCTGAATGGACCGGAAAAGACTGTTTGATTTGCACAAAAGAATGAGTCTTTCC